GGGGGGAGGGCGGGGCCGCGCTCAGCGGGGGGGGCCCGGCCCCGCTGCCGCGGCCGGCGCCTTCGCGTGCGGAGACGGTGAGGAGAGGAGAGGGGTCCGACGGCTGCCGCTGAGGAGACCAGTACGGGAGGCGAGGAAGCCCAAATGCAAGAGGGAGAGAGGTGCCGGGCTCCCGGGGGGTGGAAGGAAGGCCTAAATGCTAGGCTTGTGACAGCAGATAAGGTTTTTAACGCTAAAAGTCATTATTAGAAGCCAGAAAGTTTGGTTGCCGCTTAGATGTAGGAGTTCCACAGTAGCCCTGAAAGCCCCTTTATTATATGAGCAGCAGTACTTCAATTCTCTCTTCTACTGGACAAATAAAAGGCAGCAGAGTGATTTCAGAGGAAAGATAAGTGAGTGACAACAGAAAGCTTTTTAGGAAGCAACAGGACATCAGTATGAGAACAAGAAGTATGAAGACCCGCAATCCAAGGGGTGCCTCTGGGGGAGTTTAAGGGCAGAGATACAGGAAAGCCATCAGAGGGAGGTATTGCCCAGACTGTTCCTCGTATTAAGTCTTTTCAGGAAGAGTACATCATCTAGGAACACGGGAGTTCACGGAAGGTGGTAAGAAGAATGCTGAATGCTCTGAGCAGGCACCAGAGGAGGTGAGAAAGAAGCGCTTATCGTCCCGCTACTGGCAAACCTAAGAGCAGCTGGGACTACAGAGCTTAGTGAATGGCTCAGCCCCAGCCGTAGGACACCCCTGGCTGCTCCTCAGGACAAGCCTTACTGCATGCTTTTCTAGGTACAGTATCCAAAATAGCGGTTGGAGCGCAGTAGTGCTGATACGCCTGGGAGTTGCTTATTTCAAGGCAGATCAGAGGCTCTGCAGAAGCTATAATGCGTTAGTAGCCAACAATCTTGCTTGAGCACCTCCATAAAACTCTCTAGGATGTTCATGGAGAGCAACCCAGGTTGTGCAACCTAATTAAGCTCGCAATCTTGCTACAAACTTAGGACTGAGTAGTTTTTGCATGCTGTTTTACCCCAAATGATCCTTACCCCCCAGAAAAGCATGGGCATTTCCCCTTATGTTAGCAACTCACCGTATTTTAGTTCACAGATCTGACTGTCTTTCTTCTTTAGTTTCTCACAGATCTTTTCCACGGGGATGTGGTGACTCATGGGCTTTGATACCTCATTAATGATTTTGGTGGCTGCATCACTTGTGGCCCCAATATAATAGCACTAGAGGGAAGAAAAGAATGAGGTGGGGATGTGTGGAGAAACGCTTCTAAAATGAGTTTCCTGTCCATCTTCCCTCCTCACTTGGCTTGGCAGCTACATGTTTACCATTACAGAACCTTTCCAAGTGACCGCTACAGACAGGCAAAAGGAAGCCCAACTCTGAGCCCAGGGTACCAAGCAGATGTTTCCCATCACACTGCTTTTAAAGGCATTGAGGCTGGTTGTCTTGTTTCTCAACTTTTTTAAAAAAATCAAATCTGATTAAGAATAATGTTTTCTTCATTCAAAGAGAAAGACTTTCTGAAGTGCATTTCTGCATTTCTGATGGCGTCTCTCTGCAATTTTCTTCTCAGGAGAGTTCAGGGCCTTGTCCTTGGGGCTTTTCATTTGCAGATTGCCTTCTGGTTTTAGGGCAATTTGGTTTTCCTTTATTTAGTTTTCAGCTAAACAACCAAAGAGCGTAAATACCTTAACAGCTTATATAGCACCCCAAATCGTTTAAGGGACAAGGAAGTCCTACAGCAAATAAGAGCTTTGTAATCCCCAGCGCTTCAGTAACAGAGAGAAACAAGGTGAGCCAGTAAGATCTTTGTTGACAGACTGGTTTTGTTTGTGTGGTGGTTTGGTTTTTTTTTTTTTGTTTGTTTTGTTTTTTAATGTGAAGAAGTTAAACTCTTATAAAAAAGCCACAGGACCAGTTGTGGCCACAGAGCTAGGAAGAACAGCCCCTGAGAAGCCTTATCATACAAACTCCAAAGCACTAATTTCCCCTCATCTGCCAAGTATTCTACAACTTATTCCCTCAAAAGGCAAGTGTCACCGACTACTTACCAGGCGATTCTCTTTGCCTTTTGCTTCTTTGCAGGATTTCAAGAGCTCCTTTTCAATACTGGCAGGTGTGAACTCAACGTCGTTGTCCTTTAGACTCTGGTAGAACCTTCCCAGGAACGTAACGCACACTGGAAGGGAAGATGGATGGAGTTACCCGCCACTGTAGTAACCTCATGGCAGCTCTTAGAGGGCACTTGTAGAGGAACAGAATAAGGGATTTGGAGAACAGAACTTCTAGAAGCTGCATTAGCAGTCAGTGACTTCACAAGTATTTCGGTAAGTCTTTCAGAGCACACGTGAATTAACAATATGCCCTGGCATTTTGGGTGGCTTTTTGATGATCTGAGAAACCAGATCCATGGAAGTGTCCAGTGCCTTCTGTACACTGTCCTGAGTGATCAGCAGGATTCTGCTGAGGGATACAACACAAAACAGTGCCCGTGCCAAAACAGAAACTTAATTTTCTGTCTTATTCTTGCTGCTTGTCAGACGACAGGCTTCAAAACGAGTTCTGATTGAAAACCAACTCCCTCTACATAATGCCATTACAGACTCCACGTGTGCTGTTTTTAGCAATACAGTGTCACTGATTATCAAGTTGGTTCAGTTCATAGGCAATTTATTTCCAAGAGAAAGAGAAATTATGTGATCACACGCTATCTCCACTTGGCGTGTTTCTCCTCTCTTCATTCCCACAAGCTTCTGAATCAGTTTCGTATTGGAAGAGGGAAGAGTCTTAAAAGAGAATGAAACTCCTGCCAGTGCAGCAGCAGCCAAGAAGACAGATCCAAGCTCCTGCCTGTGGGGAGGGCAGGTACAACTTAGCTGTTAATGCTCTCCCTTTGGCAGCAGTTGCTCCACATATGCTCCAGACCAAGCACAGCACACCCACATGCTGCCGGGGCGGAGGGCAGACAGCTATGGGTACAGCAGCTTGCAGGATCTGTGCGATGGGATGACCGAGACACTGCCAGTTTGCAGAGGGTCAGATTTTTCTCATTCTGCTGCTCACACAACTCGCCCATGAACATCAGCATTGCCTGGACCAAGAACTCTATGGCCCTGCCAATCCCTGTGGATTCTCATGGCTTCCAGGTGCGAGACAAGTGCCAGGGACTGGCCTGCCTGTAGGGGAAGGGACGAGTTATGTCTTGTATGTGATTTGTTTACCCCAACAGGAGGGGATCCTCGAATATTATTGTCATTACCAACTTGTATTCAACTCTGAACACAAGCCGTGGCACAGAAAATGGGCAAATAGTGGAAATCGAGTAAGACCATCACAAAGCCAAGTAGAAACTTGCTCTCATATTAAAACCGGATGTAATTATAAGCTGGACCATTTAGGAAAACATTTTTTTTTTGTATGCATACAACACCATCATTTACCTCACATCAGTTTGTCCCCAGTCACAGACACACACTGATGTCCACTGTGCGCTGTTTGGAAGTGAAAACCTTTGGAAAGAATAAAGATGCTGCAGGCAGTGGTACCGATGACTACAGTACAGTTGAAACAAGTTTCCAACCTAGTGCTGGGACAGCGGCTGAAGTTTTGATTTACTACGTTCCCTCCCCCTCCTTCTGTCTTACTGTTTCTCTCCCTACAAAAAGGAGGAAGGGCTGAGCATTAGTACAACAAATTCCCAACTGGTTACTGTAGTCCCACCTCAAGTTTTTGTTGCTTCACCTGGGGAATCTGTTCTGTTCCACCACGCAAGAGCAGTTTAATTTGCTGTGCGGCTCAACCGCTTCTGCCCTAGAGGCTTCTGTATTTAGGTGGTCCGCAGAGCCCCCAGTTTGTCTCAGATCAGTCGAACACCGCTTCTGGCTTCACGTGTTAAAGAGAGAACACCCAATACTCCAGCAGCCAGCGGCCCAAACCAGGGCAAGCGCGACGCTGTGGTGGGCGAGCGGGCAATCCCTGCATCTTGCACCCTGCCTCGTCCATCAGCTCCCTGCTTCCACACTCGGCTCGCCGGCACCTGGCTCGGAAAGGGAACGGGGGACACCCTGCACCCCGGCTCGCAGACGCCGAGCTGCGGAAGACGCGAAGCTGCTCTGAGGCGGGGGTCCCGGGCGCCGGGGGCG